GGGAAGGAAGTGCAGGTGGGGGGAGGGGATTGGACTAATCCATCAATTAGCAATTAATTAGGGTAATTAATCACTGAGATTTGGGACTGAAGAAGCCCATTTTCCCTGGGAACCGGATTTGTACCAGTGAGATCCGCAGCAAAGGTCGAAAACCCAAGGCCTGAGACCCCCATGGAGGCCCCGCAGTGACCCCAGTGGGGCCTGGAGCTGCCCCCGGCCCTGGGACACCACAGAGACCCCCAGGACTGGGGCTGGGGACCTGGGACACCACAGAGACCCCCAGACTGGGGTTGGGGACCTGGGACACCACAGCAACACCAGGACTGGGAATGGGGCCTGGGACACCACAGCGACCCCCAGGATTTGGATTGGGGACCCCTGGGGCAGCAGGGCCCACCCTGACCCCACTGTGGGGCTGGGCCTGGGAACCAGGACAGGGCCGGGTCTGGGGAGGGGAGGCCTCAGGGTCCATTGACCATGGGAGACACCTGCACCCAACCCCCATCCTGATCCCGGTCCTGATCCCAATCCCAATCCTGATCCAAATCCTGATCCCAGTCCTGATCCTGATCCTCATCCCAATCCTGATCCACATCCCCATCTCAATCCTGATTCTGATCCCGATCCTGATTCCCATCCCTATTCTGATCCTGACACCCATCTCAAATCGCATCCTGATCCTCATCCTGAGCCCAATCCTGATCTGGATCCTGATCTGGATCCTGATCCCCATCTTGATCCTGATCCCAGTCCTGATCCCAATCCCGATCTCAATTCTTCTCCCAATCCCCATTCCAATCCTGATCCCAATCCTGATCTGGATCCTGATCCTGATCCCCATCTTGTTCCTGATCCCAGTCCTGATCCCAATCCTGATCCCAGTCCTGATCCCGATCCCAATCTCAATTCTTCTCCCAATCCCCATTCCAATCCTGATCCCGATCCTGAGCCTCATCCCTGTCCCCATCCCAGTCCCGATCCTGCTCCTGCTCCCAGTCCCCATTCTAATCCTGATCTCAATCCCGATCCCCATCCCAATCCAGATAGTGATCCCAATCCTGATCCCAATCCTGATTCTGATCCCCATCCCAATCCTGATCCCCATCCCCATCTCGATCCTGATTCTGATCTCGATCCTGATTCCCATCCCTATTCTGATCCTGATCCCCATCCCAAACCCCGTCCTGGTCCTGATCCTCATCCTGAGCCCAATCCCAATCCTGATCTGGATCCTGATCCCAAACCTGATCCCCATCCCTATTCTGATCCTGACACCCATCCCGAGCCCAATCCTGATCTGGATCCTGATCCTGATCCCCATCTTGATCCTGATCCCAGTCCTGATCCTGATCCCGATCTCAATCCTTTTCCCAATCCTCATCCCAATCCTCATCCTGATCCTGAGCCTCATCCCTGTCCCCATCCCAATCCTGCTCCCAATCCCCATTCAAATCCCGATCCCCATCCTGATCCCCATCCCAATCCCGATAGTGATCCCAATCCTGATCCTGCTCCCAGTCCCCATTCTAATCCTGATCTCAATCCTGATCCCCATCCCAATCCAGATAGTGATCCCAATCCTGATCCCAATCCTGATCCTGCTCCCAGTCCCCATTCTAATCCCGATCCCCATCCTGATCCCCATCCCAGTCCTGATAGTGATCCCAATCCTGATCCCAATCCTGATCCTGACCCTGATCCTGACCCTGGCAGTGCTCACTGCTACCAGTGATAGTGCTTGTATGTTATGGAAACATGGCAAGGCCGCTGTCTCCTATGGGTGCCATGTCTGTGCCTATGGGGAGGAGCCGACCCAAACCCGGCCAGTGAGGTTTTCCATCCCGATGTGATGCACTCAGGGTAAAAACGAGGGGTCAGGGGGGTCTGGCCCCTTCACCTCGGCCCCTCCCGTCCCTCCTGACCCCGCAGTGGCCGCGGTCCCAGCTCCGTGGCCCCTGCCCTGGGTGTCCCTGCTCACCTCGGCTGGGCCCGGAAGCTCAGCAGGGTCAGGCCCGGTCAGTGCCTGGATGGGAGACTTGGGCAGGGTGGGGGCTGGGGTGCAGAGCTCCCAGAGCCTCTGGGGACGTTGACATTGTCAGGGTTTGTTTCTGTTGGTTCTCTGTCCCTGCGTATCCCGATCCTGCCCTGTCCACATTCCCGTGTGCTGGTTTCACACCTGGTGGCACCAGCAGGAACCACCTGGATGAGGCTGGCAATGGGAGCTTGGTGCTGGGCCTGGTGCTGGGTGCAGCCCCATGAGCTCCAGCGTCCGGAGCTGAGCCAAGAGGAGCCCTGGCCGGGAACGGGGAGAGACGCGGCTGTGGGGTCACACTGAGCGGTACAGGGTTCACTGACTGGTGGTGGTGGTGTTGTTGTTGTTGTACTGATGTTATTGTCATTGTCATTATTTTAATTGTTGTTGTTACTACTACTGTTATTGCTGTTATTGTTATATCTATTCTAATAGAGATGATAGATACTTCATATATAACATATAACATATAATATAATATAGAGATGTTATATATT